TTTACAGATATCATATATTCACGCTTAGTTGGTCATTTAGAAACACCGATGACAGGTACATTTCATTGTGGAACTGAACTTATCTGAAGTTACGATAAACTCACTTATCAAGTTTTGAGAAAATCTTATAAAAAGTCCGAAGTGATTTTTAGACCCTCTTAAGGGTGAAGTGTCTCAGAAATCCACCCTGTAGAAACTTACTTTGAAAAGATGAAACAGTATTTACATAACTTGAAGATAAACGTTGAGTAGAACCACTCATTATCTTAGTGGTTACATTTTCGTGAGTGATGCTGTCTGAATCGGCAAATTAAGTGGCGGTTGGCAATATTAAGATCTCTTGAATCTGTGGTGTATTCTAAACTGAAGACAAGAGTTAGCTGAAAATAACGTATCGATGGAACAATTCAAACATTTATCTCACAAAATAACTTTGAAAGTCATTCATCATGCAGCTGGATAATTGTTGCATGGACTGTAACACGGTACTTAATATAAACTGATAAATCTATGGTGAAGTAATTGAATATAAAAAAGCAAGTTTTTCATGAATGATCAAACCAATGTACTATGGAGTTAAAACTCGAAAAAAATGAACACTTTTCCCAGTATGTTTACGAGTCATTTTTTATCATTTCAGTGGACTCATGAAGGTTAATTTTTATTTTTAAACCTTCGAATATAAATACATGGAAAACATGATACGCTTCAGCCATACAACTATCATCCATAAACCTAAAACTTCCAGAGCATTGATATTCAATCTTTTTTATGCAGAACTGATATTTTCTCTTTTTAAATAGGGCAAATTTTCCTGACTTACGTCGAAATACAGTTATCTTATGTGGATTACCCGCATAAAGGTGAAATTAGCATGATTAGAAGGGACAATATTAGAAATCATACTGCCATAGTTTAAACACTTAGTGACATTCACTAAAATCAAGTATTTTCTAGGTACATCTTCATTGCTCAAAATAATCATGAACATCATTTCGTGGTATGTCATTTAATAAAATAACATGTATTATCAAATTACATAATCAAATTTCCTAGTTAATAAACGTACAACTGGCCACTAAATATTGCGATTACTTTAACCATTGGGGTACCTTTATGATAACAGTTCGAATTGTTGTGAGCATGATTTAATTTAAAGTGACGGACAAAATCATGATCAACTGAAGACAGATGCTATGTCCCCACTAGATAACTGGTCATATGGGCTGAAACTGACGGCTTATAACATTTAGTGAACGACCATAAACAAATAAAAACACTGAACAGTTTATCATCCGCCCAAATTCATTTTTGTGTTGTTCTCCATTAGATGAAAAAACATTTCACATCGCAAACAAAAGTATGAAAAAAAATCGATCTGAATAAATTACATACGTACTAATATATCTGAAATTCAATGAAACTGGCACATGAAAGTCTACACAGCTTGTAATCAACTAACAATAACTTTCTGGAATAAATACAAACAGATCTTTAAGAGACAGCAATATATAATTACTGCATTTTGTTTAATGCAGTATGCTGTGATCTTTAGGATATATTATAAAAATAAACGAACGTATGAATAATGTTACTGATGTAGCCCTCAAATGATTTTTAGTATTCTAATTGTCGTTATTTAATCGAAAGCTACAAAATATGTACTGCAGATGCACATTTCACTGTTCAATAATAGACTAGATATTCAATATTGCCTTAAAATATTATATCAGGTCAAATAAAAAACAGGAATCTCTATTTTGGTGAAATGATTCCAGTTATAAGTGACTAGTCATTTGATTTCGAAGTCCCAGTTTCTATCTGTATACGTGTGAGAGTGCATTACTGAAAAAGTCTTCGACTAGAATAAAAGTTATGCGGAGTTTCCTCATTTTTGTTTCTTCGTCGGTTGACTGGCTGAAAGCCATCAGGAGAGAAGTACATCCAAAAACCATACTTTACCACAATGAAATTGAAACGAGTTTTATCAAATACATTAAACTAAACCAACTATGTGGTAGAAATTTATTTCTTTTAGATGACCAGTTAATTTTGAAGAAAAGCTTAAACTGTTAAAGTTGGACATCGAATGCTTTCAATAAAGGCTTTCCCGACGACATTTAGGCTCCTATCATTCTACGAAGCTCAATACTTGAAAAATTAAGACGGCAGTTACAATATCTATGATTTATCTTGCGGTTAGTTCCGGTTTATGAACCTAGGCTTGTTTATAAGACTACGTAAGGGGCTAGAGTCGTGTAAATTACCCGAAAGCATAGCAACATAAATAATGATTTGCAAACTTAATAAACCAAACTAGCAAACAGTCTAAATCCATTGAATTCTAGAACTTACCAAACTAACTGATCACACTCTAGATGAACAGAATAAACTGCTAAAAACTTAAGAAGAAATCATGGTACCTAATGTCTTTCACGAATATTCTCTTATATTGTCCATAAGGAATTTAGCCTTCATGATAAAATTATCTAGTCCATAAAGCAAAACAACTCTAAAATCATCCTTTTGAGCTAAAAATTCCAAAAACTACCAACATTTATGGAAGTAAACTAACTTTTTACTTCACGCACTACACTGGTACGGTCTACATATCTTTACCTGGTTCTGTAAATACGACAACGTGTATTTTCTCGCCTTCTACTTAGTCACCAACTATCTGCATAAAAATACGAATATAGACTTTTGGAGACAGGCTAATTGATAATATTTTATAACTATAAAAACCAGAATTAAGATTAGATTATAAAGGAATTTTTAGGCAGAAAAAAGTAACAATTAGACAAAAACTACTAAGCATACATCTAGTCACTTGTTCCAGTCCATTCCATTTATTAATATATATCCGTTAAGAAAAAAAGTAGACACTGATAAACAGGTTGTGAATACAAATTTATTTTCAAATACATTCAGTTAACTTAGTATTTAGGTCAATATTAATACTTAAGAAAACCTAAGTAATCGGATAAACATCTATCCGTCAAACAATTATTATTGTTGAAAGTAATATGTAGAATAAAAACCATAATTAATAGTACGCTTTGTGTAAACGATGGTAACATGAAACTATTGTATATAGTTAGAGGATAGTGACAATCCGCCGAGTTCAAGGTGTTAAACCACCTTCAGATTATGAAGAAACACAGAAAGTCTAGACAGTTTTAGGTACTCGACTTGTATTGCATACATACAATGAAGCGAACTACACCGACTAGATTTTCTATGAAGCTTTAGACACCTGAAACTATGAATAGAGACTAATGAGTTTCGGTGTCGCTTGGAAAATCTATCTAGGCTACATATATGTCACTTCAGCAAATAATTTATATCGGACATTTGCTGTTAAATAGTTAGCGAAAAATTATGCATAGTAGGGGTTCACATTTATTAAGTTCAGCTTCAAGGGAGAAATTTAGGTTTCGTTAAACTAAATAAAACCACAAATTCACCTGATAATGATTGCTTGTATCTCCTGGAGTGAACGTCAAGTCTGGGATGCAGGTACATCCAGCAGACGAGTCCGAAATAGGACGAAACACGCGACCTGGATTCCATTGCTAGCCACCATCCATCTTTGTTTATAAATAGAACAAAAGCTAAGTGGTACTTACTGAAAGAAATCCCCTAAAAAACAATAGCACAACTTATTTTACTTAACCAATTGATAACGAGGTGCTTTGAGTTTCTGTGTTTAGCTACTTCTGTTATTCTGATTTTCACGATCGGAATTTTAATACTTGTGAGTAGTTTGAAGTTTCAAGTAAAAATATTTTGTCCGTAAAATTGGCTGAAACGAATGGATGAAATGTCAGGTCAATTCAACATAAGTATACGTACGTTTTGGAAATTACTGGGATTCTTATTAAATTTTTCTGAACTTTCTTGAGTGATAAATTGGGGGACTCATTTTAAGGAATCAACCTAGAACTCAATATTTGACATAGAATCTATCATTTACAAGTCATAAATCACTAATCAGGAAATTGATATTATCTATGATTATATATTTAGTGAATTATTCTGTGAATAGTTCCATTCAGATAAACATTTTATATTAAGTTAGACCAATCACCGATGTTTCATTCTACATAAATTATACAGTTACTAAACTAACTAGTTTCTCCTTAAATTATACTCAACTAAATTTACAATAGGATGGAGAGACTTGAGAAGAAAATTAGTGTGATAAAACAGTTACCTACCAACTTATCATTCATATGTGGGCTGACCAAAACATTTTTGATGATAACAAAATTAGGGCCTATTCAGAAATTGCGTATTAAAGTTCGACAACTACAAAACATGACAAGCAAACGTGTAGCCACTCAGAATTTTGATTTCATCCATCAACCATACCTAAACGAGTGGGGTTTATCAATCTAAGTGGTTTGAGATAAACTAATCAGAAATAAATCTATTAATCGAATAAATTAATAAGTTAAGTGAACGCAAATCGATTCCAGTACCTTAGATTTAGTACCTATTGAAGAATCAGAGCTTCATTTTGGAAAGTTGAGCTAGTATTTTTCAAAGTATTTTTTGTTGTAAATGTCTGATTTATTCAACTATCTCAACGTTGTTCCCGTAAGTGGCATGGTTAGTCGAATGATGAAGAGAATAGTCTTACAATGTCTATCTAACCACAAAAGACATTTTTACAAAATATTTGGCTGACGATAACTGATAAAAGTAACAAGAACAAATGGCGAATGTGAGAAAAAGAAACAAAATATACAACTGCATTTATGGTTTTTAGTGAGAACAAATTAAAAGTGGATTTGTAACAACAGATTGAGGAAAAAAGATGCGAAAAGATGAAAATCCACAGACGTTCAGTAAATGCCAAAAAGAGAAATTCAGTGTTTTATTATCAACTTGAAAAGATACGGAATGATAAAATACTACACACAACGACCAGATTACATAACTGGACATAATTGAGTTACAGAGATAATAGTAGAAGATACGTTATGCTCATTTACCTCTACAATTCATCCCATAATGACCGCGCATGTTTAACAACTTGACTATCTTTCCATGAATGTGATTTAGCCAAAATTTCTTCTAATGTAAGTTTACCATCATGATTAGAATCTGTGAGATTCATTAATCGTGTTGCTTCTGATTTTGCAGCCACTTTTAAAGCTAAATGAAAAAGCAATTCAGATAATTTAAGTTTTTTTTAGAAGTAATAATAAATAATGAGTATATTTTACAATAAGAAATAATATGTGTATTGTTGAAGATGAATCGGTAAGTATTTACAAATCCAATTGTGTATTATTTGCTAATAACCAGGCTATCAACAGTTTATCAAGTAATGTAATATACTATTTAGTGATTAAGCTGGTGATTTCACTGTATTCTTTGATAAATAGAATAATTCTATTGTAGTAGGATGAGTGCTATTAAAGATGTGGTAGATTATATCAATTTATATATAGCGGAAGTTGGAGAGGTTCATATTAACATACGCCATCTTCTGGGCCGTCACAACGTTAATCTAGCTGTCATTTGATGCACGAATCGGTGACAGCGATTCTACTATATGCTTGTGAAATCTAACTTCTCTAAGCCTAAAATGTTCGACGTCTTACCTTAGCACCTTAATCATGGTTGAGATCTCACAATCCCTGTTAGGGTACAATAGGGATAATAACTGAACGAGTATTATTACCTTAAAACACAGGTTACGGAGGATCAGACTTCCTTTGCATGTATCATCCCATAAAATTTTACATCCCAATATTTGTTAACTCAGGGATTAGATAATAAAAGATTAAAGATGGTGAGTTTAAAGCATGATGTTGTAGAATGAATGTCATCTACGAATTGCGACATCCTCTCAAGACAATCATGATTAACTTACAAGGCAATAACCATGGCCGTAATTCATCCAGAACGAGTATGTCATTTTTATCAACGTCAAGATTACTGAATTGTTCATGTAAATAATTCTCTTGTGATACACCTCGATAGGCTAAATAAATTATAATTTTTTTCAAAAATTAAGTGTTATACGTTAATATGTAGTTATCAGTATTGCAGAATTATTCACGAAAAAAACAAATCATCAAAAAGTACTTAAAGTAATATAAGATTTTAAGTAATTCACATTTGGTTTATTTATTCACTTATAAGTGACGAAGGAAATCTTAACCCAATTAAACATAAAAGAATTCAGGTTTGATTTTTTTGTTTTGAGACGGACACGAATGCTGTAAAGACCACGATAATTCTAGAGCTTCTTAGAGAACCAGCTGCTGAGCATTTAACCTTGAGATCTAATCCATAAGACAGTGGTGTAAGGTGGAAAGAAGCATTTAAATGGTAGTCTATGATCAGTATAAGTTCATACCTCACATATCTGTTTCAGTCTCTAAAACCCATTTGTACCGTTGGTATATATCTCAACTCTTTAAGTTGGATAGATTTAACGTATCAACCTGTTTCAAGTACTGGGTGTGGGCTTTTGCCCTTTCACTTTTGTGGCACCAGTATCTGTGTAGTAAAGATACTTCATATAACTTTATTGGGAACAACAATCAACACACACACACACACCCATTCTAGAGCATTCTCCCAATCTCTGATCACACTAGTGGATAAGGAGCTTTACAAACCACAGTAGCAGATCCACATTGTACCTTAAGTGAGTTTTATACAAGAAATAAATTATAGAAGACTTACTAACAAACAAACGTTTGTTTCTATTAGTAAAATACAAGACACTAAATCATATACTTTTAGATGAAGTGTTAGCTTAGTGATATTTCTCAGAGTATAGACTAATTCACTTATACTTATTAGACACCTTGAGAAAATAAACCAATACCCTCAAACTAATAATAAAATAATAATATATTTGTGATATTCCAGTTAGTAGAAATTAAAATTTCGGATGTTTGTGAAATGGGAATGCTCCACTTCATAATGCCCAGCTACCATAATATCTTATGCATTAATTCCTATGCAAATGAATATAACTGCAACTTTTTTGTAGAAAATCGACCGTAAAATAATAATATCGCTAAACTATCCCGGAATACACAGAATCATCACTTTCTATGACAGATAAGTACGATGAAAAGAATGAATTTATGTCAACACAATTATACATACATTCATAGGCGAAAAACTATACATTCTTACATTTAGTGTAAGGTTGGACACATTACCAACGCGGTTAAAAAAAGCAGACATGAAAAACTTTTAAATTAAGAACTAGTATGAGGTAGACTAAAACATAAGGGTATCTTACAAAAATCTCGATAACAAACGAGCTTCAGGGGATAAAACTGTTAAATTTGACATTTATTTCTAAATTCGATTTTCGACTTAGCTCCTGACGATCGAATTCCCCCATATATTCCTTGATTTACCTGATCCTGTGGGACAGGTTACATTGGCCACACAAAGCGATCACTTCCCAAACGCATCTCTTAACAATGTCCGGAGTGGCTCTTAAGAGGAGAATGCAAAACAGTTACCAGTCCAATACAGGCGTATCTAATCAACTGCAGACGCGTCGCCCCGAAGTTTTCGTTTAAAATAATCTATACAACCAAAGGAACTGGATCGAAGGGAGGTCGGATAAAAAATTTATGCACTGCTGAGTAGTTGGTGATTCACCAATTCAAACCCGAACTCTGCATACAAAAACGATACGTCCAACTTCTCATCCTCTCTTGTCCCGAGTTCCCTTCTGTAGAGTCTTTTAATTTTAAACCGTCATCAGTTATTATTATCCTTTAGTAGATTATCGTGATTATTATTCGGTTATTATTAAGACCTTTAGTCTTTCATTTTTCTTCATATTTGTCACGTAGACAATTATCTTTCATAATTCTGAACCTCAATTTTTCTCCAGACCTCAAATGCCCTGGTACGGACGAGAGTGGGGAGAGTCCGCTCTTCCTCTCGAAATGCTCTCACATGGCCACGCGTATATAGCTTCTGCCAGGGAAGTTCTATTCATGGCCTTCTCGTGGCGGGGGTGTTGTTTGCGAAATTGAAAGGACGGAAAGCGAATGTCCGGCGCTTTAACCGGGTTGGTGGACACAGAGAGTCCACCTAGGGGAGTTGGAAAACCCTGATTCCAAACCAATGGTGCACATGGGCTCTAGTATCCTGAAGGAACAAATGGCGTAGAAACCAATCGTTGGTCACTGGCTACCATGGGACTGCATCTCCTTACGTTGCTCCACTGCTTTGTGGATCAGACTTGCAGGTCGAAGACTCCGGGTGTGGCCCCCTAGGAAACCACCTGCTTCGGTTTGGGCACCTGGGTAGTGTCACAGCCCTCAAACATATCAAATGAGATTTGTGTGGCACATATGTATTTGGTGCCTCCTTGTACCAATATCTATATGTTAAAATAAATAAAATTAAGATAAATAAACTCCCTGATTATTACTCAACCTTATGTGATATTTGGAGTCGCGAATCATTTTATGATGCAATCTTTTCTGTCATCCTATGGATATATTTACCATTCAACTATAAATACGAATGTACAGTTTCAATAAATGATTTCGTCGAAAAAATTGTCTGCGCTGAACTCTCTTAATTTTTATTGAATGACACAGTGGGTTATTTTAATTATCCTTGATTTTCATATTTCTATCAGCCACTAGGTGAAGCTCTATTCGTGTGAGGAAATTTCCCTTCCTTGAAATGTCATGGTCATTTCTCTTGAACTAGTTTTACTACTCATATTTTAAATAGATGTGCCCATTTTTATTCATAGTCTGTCTCAAAAATTTACGTCAATTTATGTCATTGAAAGACAAAATTTTGAAACAAGGTTTATCGTAATGGTTATGGACGCACTGAATTCATTTTTTGACTTCAAAATCTTTACACGTAACTAGCTCTATTGGCTTTTAATTTTCACGAGGAACCGATGAACATTAAAGCCAATTTTTATTACTAAGAGTAATAAATTTATTGGAAGAGAAAAATGTTCACACTAACTTCACAAATGTACTTTAAGTATAAATATACATGTGCTTATTAGGTTCTAATCTGCTTGAAAAGTATGAGAACCAATAAAAAACTCACAAAAATTTGTAAACTCATCTTTCGTAATTATACCATCACCATTTTGATCAAAACTGGAAAAACTTTTTTGCAATTCATAATTTGCCATATCTTCATAATTTTCAGGTCGTAAGAATAAAGTGAATTCTTCTAGTGATAATAAACCATCATTATCTTTATCAGCAAAGTTGAAACGTAATCGTTCATCTTTTAATAACTATAAAATATAATAAGGGATTTCGTAAAAGCAACTGATTTTCATGCGCAGAATGTTTAACTTATTGATCAGTCTACAATAATAAGAGCTAGAAGATGCAAAAAATATGTTTAATTTAGTAGAATCGGTCTCATTTATTTCATCAATTTACACTTCCAGTCAGCTAGCGACACCGTCAAGAGTTCATTTAGGATTACTTCCAGTTCCAAGACAGTGACGGAGAATCGGGTGCGGCGTTAGCATCACCTCGTCATAAGAAAGAATTTGCTGAAAAACGCTAGCAAAAGAAAGCCAAAATCATCCACCTGAGCTACAAATCTTCTCCACCATCTCAAGTATGTATGGTTTCCATTAATATATTTAAATATGGGTTCATACTGAAAGTGGTCACCTTTGTTTCCTGATACCGCTTAACATGCTATCACGAGATAATTATTTATCACTGATTTCATGAGGATGGTTTATATTAGGCAGACATACTACTTACAGCAGATAGCATCATTTAACAAAATGATGACAGCCTCTAGTTCTCTTAGTGTTTGAAAACTATTTAAAAATAATTATAAACTAATTTTGCAGCTCTGAATCCAAGGTCTGATAAGACAACCAAAAACTTGATGAAATAAAAGGTTATGGGAATTAGTTAAATACTAATGTTTTTAGTCACTTGATAAACACAACCACGTAAAATTAATAAGATTTCACCACTGACTTCTAAAATAAATTTTGACGATTTGTCGTCTTTTGAATGTCTTAATTCCTCTTCAGAAGTTTCATACGTTTGATTTATATACTCTTCGAACGAAACTTTTCCGTCTTCATTCACATCAAATCTTGTAAGTTGTTTTTCAGCATGCTCACGATCCAAAGATCTGTAATATGGAATGTACATTGTTTATTTAAAATATAAGTAAAATGTTTGGAGCAAATCTATGTTTTCCTACTAATACTAGCCAACATACATGTGGATACTGCGAGACTATTTAGTTTTATATTCGAATCACATTACAACTAGTGAGGTTTTCATAAATAAAAAGGGCAGATTAGCAATTGGTTCTAAGATATAACAAATAATTTAAGTGTCAATTTCAAGACATGTTATACGAATTTGATTTCTCAGACTAACGAATACCTAAAAATATACACCGGACATCAAGCTGAATAATTAATACAAAAAGCCATTAAAGAGAACTATACTCACGGAAGCGTCACTTGAGGATAGGTGGATTTCACGTCAGATCATTCGGAACCTGTCTGATATTTAATGGATTTTTAATAATCTCTTACCGTTTAACCTAAATAGTTCCTGTATTGGAAAACCAGTGAGTTTGACTTGATCCAAGCTATAACTAAATACAAATTAATTTACTTGGGTATGAGAAACCTTTAATATGAGGACGCATAATCATTCTACCTTGCTGCTCAAACCTAAATCAGGGTTTGCATTTGTAAATCGGTTGTTAGAATCAAAACGTATTCACATTTTACCACTACTGCACTATTAGAGTAAATATCGAAAAATTATCACTGATAAATATTAAATTAATTCTGTAAGCTAAGTACTTAACTAATAACTAAGTCAAAAATGTAAAACCTCGGTTAGTCATTCCATTTAAAATAGCTTAACGACATCTCTAGTCCCGAAACAATATATATTGATGATAATCTAATAGGAAAATCTGGAGCAAATAAAGTATGTGATTGAAGCAATCAGGCTTCGGTGAAAAATTCATTCTTGCATTATAGTTGGTAGCAGTTTGTGAAGAAAAGAATAATTCATATATAAAGGTTCGTTATTTAAGTGAGAACCGTTTATTGTTTACAACTGTATTACTACTTTCATCTTGAATTATTTCGTAACTAAATAACGTTTTCTGGTTCACAGTCGTCGATATGCCTTATTTCCACCGCTAGTTTAAACATAGACATTTAGCTACGTTTGTGAATCGAAGCGGGCTCCTAACAAAAATGTCATAGAAATTGGGAGACAAAGCATTAAATCGCAAAACTGGGATTCTTCCTGGAATCATTAAAAACAATTGACAGAAATAACTACTGGTTCGGAAATTGCCTTACCTACTGACATTCAGGCACTTATACTCTTAAATTATTCCAGTGTTTGGCATTTATTGGATATTATACTTAACTCGGCTCATTCTAAATCAGAAAAAACCCTCACAGCAAGGGATAGTGGTGAAAACATTAAAGTTTACATATAATTTACATAAGAATCTTTCTGCCCCCGTCGATTCCCCCATTAACACAAATTGGTTAAATGAGAAAAAATAGGAGTATTTCAATTAGAGTTTGTCGCAGCATGCAATAGTTAGGATTCCGACACACTGTATCTTTGAATCTCCCATAATAAGTACGGTTTATATATAGCCTAGAGAGTGTGTTTGACATATAATCACTGTGCTTCACTACATTATTTCTTCCGTACATGAAAGAACTCATAAATTTTATGTCGTTTGAAAAGGAAGATTCAGTTTCATTGTTTTTAGCAAAGTTGGTAGTATAGTGCATAAAATACAATAATCAGAGAAATTGGTTTTGTATATTTGAAAACTAAGGACTGCTTAATAAGCGCTAACTTAATTTGACGTACGCATGCAAATACGATAAATTTATGGTCTTCAATCGAATATATATTCAAAGATAATACGTTTCAAAAGACTAGATGTACTAAGCTTACTCATAAGTTTTATAGATCCATGATGCTAATTCATCGTCTTCAATGAATCCATTGCTATTAGTATCAATTTTTTTGAAATACATATGAAGCCGATCCTCAAAATGCATTTCTGGAAAGACAGATTCGGGAATACGATGAACTACAAAACAAATAAACAAGATGGTCAAGTTAAATCATCTTCACTAAAAAACTACAGAACCAACTTGTAACATCATCAGATCAGTAGTAACCGAAGCAAAGTTTTGCGTAGAGGTGAGGATGTGATGGGCTAAGTGTACTATCAAACTAACAACCTAATGTTTATTTACGAAACTCGACAGGTTCAATAATATAAACTGACAACACTGAAGGTCAGGCTAATGCATACGAACAAATCACAAACTTTAAAATCTTTACCACAATACATGTAGTTTACTACATTAAGATGAGAAATTATTTACTAAAGATTTTAGTTCTAATCCTTAAACAGTGTAATTGTTATAGCTGAAAACCCGCCACCCCCATGATTTTCAATTTCCTTAATTCTTATTCTACTGTTTGTGCTGTCGGATGCTATGACAATTCGAGCCACTGAAAGTATCTATTATGAACTAAACAAACTAACTTGCTGCAACTAATTGATTAAGTATGATGCAAAAGCTGAAACCAAAAACGCTATGTGATACATATTTCATTTTTACCATGAGTCTTGATATTCTTTTACAGTAGTATGCAAATTCGATACAACAAATACAATTTTTCAACCATAATCAGTGTTAAGAATAGAGCGAATACATGATTCGGTTATTAATTATATTTTTCAGTCAAGTTAGTTGCTTTACTGACTTGGGGAATCCCATACACAAATTAAATTATTGACTAACTACTAGTTCAATTCATTCAAATTTATTGGTTGACTAAACTTTTAAAATGACACGCAATTTATTATTATCACTCTGGATGTCGTTTAATTAGTGGTTGATGAATAAATCAGCCTGCTCCTACAGACTTGTTAGCTTTCTTGAATTGGAAAAGTAGTCTTGTTCCGTTTTATTATGAAATTAGACGTATTTCGCAGTCACGGAAAACAGCTGATCAATGACAGAAATCACTACTTAGCTTAAGCCACAACCTTGACGAGCCAAGCTTGTTCAATACACTACAATCAGGATAGTAACGATTCAGGATCAGCTTGTGATAAACCATAAAACAAGGTACGCTGAGAGAATATACTTTTGTTAGCGGGACATAGACTAGATTAAAGCATGCTCAATGCATGATTGTTTTGGTGCACGCTGATTGGCTGATTCTTATCCTGAATCAGAACGTAATATTTGTAACGTTTCCGGCTCACAGCAAGAAAATCCTGTGCTGAATGCTCATAAAGTTGTGGCAATACGAGATTATCAAGAGCCAGACCCTGTAGATGAAGCCCGGAGTCCAGAATTGAATGAAGCACTACTGGTCCTGTCTAGCTCTGAAAATAACTTTCAGCTAGAACAAATTTATGGTCCACGTGATATTAGCCAAGAAAGCTATGGGGACTCGTATTCAGAAAATAACTGCAGTGACACAACGAACCCAATTATACCGAATGTTACTCAAAATCATTGTGAGACAGAAACTTATATTGAATCAGCTTATCCGATTTCTAATGACAATGTACCAGACATGGGTTCTCAGAACAATGCATGTTATTCTGATGAAATTTCTCATAAAAATCAGGAAAATATATCAGCTGAGTCGAATTATGGTCAAAAGTCTAATTTAATTTTGTTAGATGATGATTTCCGTAATGATCCATTATCCACTGATGAAATTCCTAATGGATTTGAAAGTAATGCTTCAGAAGAATTAAACTTTGACCTCAAATCAAAGGTCGTTCATTATCATCTAGTCGTTTCTAGTGGATCCGACATTCAATGCAAGAAACGTCGTTTAAATAAAGTCCTATTATTTGTAACTTGGAGATATAAGGATCCGACATTGTTTCGCGGAGGAGGAGAATGTTGGAGAATTAAAAGTTATGCATACTTTTTTTAAGAAAAATCAAAACGCCGGGAACAGACATGTCAGTCTCTGTGCAAGGAAAAAGTGATAATTCTTCATTGCCTAGACGATGGACTAATCGAAAGCACATGCCAGTCACTCAGTTGCAGTTGGACCCTAGCACCAGATCCTACGAATCTGCTCAGAGGGGAGGTGTTAGCGGGACATAGACTAGATTAAAGCATGCTCAATGCATGATTGTTTTGGTGCACGCTGATTCGCTGATTCTTATCCAATCAGCACTAGTCGATAGTCGGAGAATACTCTGGAATCTTCTTATGTAAAAACCATAAATATACCGACGTTTTCCCCTATTGTGCTTCCTACTGGCTTCTGACTTGCTATTTGGAATATAATCTCTTTCTTGTTCAACCGTGTTCTGATTTGGGGACTTGTCGAGTGAATCGGTGTCCGAGAATACTAAGCAATAGGAATAGCTGGGTCATTAACAGTAAGAAGAAACAGAGTTATAACAACTTTCTTTTGGAATAGCATGGTCACTATAGTTTACGAAACAGGACATTACAGACAATCGAACCAAACAAGTTTGCTGAGTAAGAATTATCTTTATTCTTTATGACTTTTAAAAACTTACCTCCAACAAAATGGGTATCTAATTTTTCGTCATCGCATTGAACAAATGAGTATAAGAACCAGAGGAGAACCCAAGTCATTACAGACTGACCTTGGTTTTATCTATTGAAGACTGTAACTTCAATATAATGAAATCCAGAGACTATAATGATGTAGTGAACAAAGAAATCTAGGATGATCTAGAAAAAGGCCAAAAGGTTAAAAGTTAGATCAAGGTATCTTGGACAACAGAAAGCTATATTCTCTTATAAAATGAAATGCATACAAACTGGATCAATAACCATTGGATAACCAAAGGTAGGTAGATCGATGGTGTTTAATTAATTGTGAAGGCAATCAGCAGCTGAGTATAAGAACCATTGTCACTAATATGCTGTAAACAAAGGTGATATTTTCTACAGGCATTCATCAGGTGTTTCGGAACCAGGGAGATATTGTTCAGAAATATCATCTTTTTTATAACGTTATAATTCGGAAATATAAGGATAGGAAAGACAGTGAAATTAATATACATAAAGTTTCCCAACATTTTTCCGAGGCTTCTGGTTGCTCAGAAACAATTAAGCTTTATGTTGACCACCTGGGAACCTAAATTATTCCGAGTAAAAATTAGATTTCAGTATATCAGTTTTCCTAGAAACTTGCTAAATTATCAAGTTAAGATATAACGCTTTATAGATATAGATTTGTTTCTCTACCATTCGTTTTACGTATCACAAATCTGAAGTTTGTTGCGTAAGTGCAGTGATTTTAATACAAATATATTAGTTAACAATTCACAAAACCCGGTTATTTCCCGTATACAACTTCAGACCTTAACCAGACAACAGAGGAGTGGGTCTAGCTACTTGTACATTGAGACAGTTAGTGTTTTCATGAGATTTGGTCGCTATGGATTTCAAAACCCAAACTATTACGATAAGAGGTTGTCTTTAAGTAATGGCTTATGAAGAAGCGAAATTGTGGAAGAAGATAAGTACGGACAATAGCCAAGCTGTTCGAAAATTAGGTGGTTTCAGAAAAATAAATGGAAGTGTATATGGAATAACGTCAAAACTACGCGACACAGGGAAGATCAGATTCCACACAGTACCACTTCAAGACTTTACCCACTTTTTATAGAATTGCCGAATGATGAACCTAGTTTTCGAATCGTCACAACAGGGGCTTGAGCATCTAATGTGGGGGAGGGCGAGAGTTGTATCCCATTGATTTAAAATTTTCTAACAAAAATTGTGTCCAGCTTCATAACTTTCTTACGTGGGATAACCCAAAATATCGTATCCAGACATTTATCCTATGTCTGTTAAATAAAAATCAAGCTTTGCAGCCTCCCATGTAAATGAATACAATTTTACTTATTCCATCGTAAATCGAGTGACGATCTTATATTCGCATTACAAGTAATGATAAAATACTCTGGTGTTATTACGTTTGACTGAATTACATTCTGAAAGACTAATTATATCCGAAAACAATAAAAAAACCCGAAAAGTCATTTGTTAATAAATTGTAAGTAAGAACTCTATCTCAGTCGTCAAAATGTTAACTGAAGCACTCTACTCAAGAAGACAAGGTGAGACCCGTTTGTGAACATCTTTAAAGAGTAATTGACCTTTTATACGAAGACACTGCAATGAGAAATAAAAAACCTACTTCTCTTACTAAGTAAAGGATTTTTATGTGTAATAATTGTAATTAAACAACAGTTGTGACACAGTAAGACCGCAGTTTACCGAAATAAGCAGAACTGATCAGTATATATAATTCAGCAAATGAGTGATTTAATATTAACATATCCCACATACTTCACACTTGTGTGACGCACGCTCTGACTTTTGCGGTATCTGTAAACTGTGTCCAATAACTGTTTGAAGAATAGTAGTACAACAACAGCTTCTGAAATGGCCAATAGGAGTAGGAGATAAAGTTCACTAAACAGTGAAACGTAATCTAATGCACAAGCATGAATAAGAAACACAAAAATTAAAACATGCCACTTATCCAATTTCTTTCATTGTTTTTCAGTTTTTATGTCTTTCTTAAAAATACCTACTCGCAGAGTAAGTATGTGTCTTTTAAATGTGGGAAGACGAAAAAGCAGTTGCTTTCTAAGGGTAAGGGTTTCAAGTTGTCCATTCTGACTTTTGAGTTTCGTGTTTATTGGAGGTGTAGTATTTTAAACCACGTGGTTCATAATGAAGCATAAATCTCAGATAGTAACGTAGTATTATGTGTAATGCTTGCAGCTTCTTTGCAGTATTTGGTTACGCATTTTCTATTGACTTTTCTGGAAACTGGATATTAGCAACAAACTTTAGTCAGCCTATCTATTATGCATAATAGAATGGTGTATTATACACTACGGTTGTAACCGACGTATGTTTGTGTGGTAGTTATCCGAAATGATAGTTGCTTTAGCAAACTTGAGATCGGGAAACCTTCGGAGTTTTCTGCGATTTCAGGAGAATACTGCAACAGCAAAACCGAAGACGGCTCTCCGTCTCTATTTAGTTGACGAAAATCTTCAGCGCAAACGCCCATTACGAGGACTTTGAGATCGTTTGCAATTATTTGGAGAGTTAGAGATCAGGCAATCATATTACGGAGATCACCAACTTCGTTTGGGTTCGCAAAAACTCTTCATTTCAAGAGCTCTTACGATATCCGGAATCTAGTCGTCAGATGAAGGTAATAAGTTGACTGAGTTAATTTGAAAACAATCAAGAATGATTGGGAACTATATGTGTGAGTTAACTATTCGTTGGCTCAAGTAAAATTCAATTTCGACAATGGGATTGGAAAGGATGGTCAAAAAGTGCTTGCGACGTAGAATACCAGGCAACATCTGTCGGTTTTGAGATGAATCAAATGATTGAAGAGTAACACATATCTATGGACTAGGGAATATATGCCAATAAACATCGTCTTAAACCAGAATCACAATGATAATTATTATTGTTATTAGAGAGCTAACTGATAAAACAGTACTGCGGCGAAACCACTTCAAATTTCTTGAGAGGTGTAACTATATATCAGTTTCAACAGTACTAATGTTATGTTCGCCATATTTAAAAGATCCTATAGTATTTAGGGGAACATTAAATGGACTTTATAGAAAAAAGGAAGGAAAGGAAAATGGAATGTGTGAATAATTTAATAATTATGTATAGTATTCGAATTATAGTATGAATTAGGAATTCCAGGATTAACGCAATTGAATTAAGAAGACACAGGCACAACGAATGTACTGTATTTAGAATTCGAAATCAAACATTCAACAAGTACAAAAGAATCATTAGTTAATTCAAACACCACATCCGCCACAGCTTAAATAGAAGTATAAGTGTTTGTAATCGGTTGTACGTCTTCTTGTTAAGTTCATCTTGAGTCTGTCCGACATTGTATAAGATAAAAACTTTGTAGTATCTAGAAAGTGCTCATTAGTATTGGAATTAACAAACGAAATCGGAACAGACTCACCTGGAATTGTATACAACCAGCATGTCGGTTTTGTAATGAAATCATTAATATCTATAATTCGAACCATAGATTTTTCAACACTATCCCCCCCCACGAAATAATGTTGGATCTTTGTACTTCCAAGTTATGAATAATGTGGCTTCATTTAAAGCATATATCTCACATTGTTTAGAGTAAATATTAGAACTGATTTTGTGATAAGAGTAAACAGCAGTTGATATGAAATCATCCGAAATATAATAAAACTCGAGGTCACTTAGTACTCGTGCTTCGCATTGGGCAGGTTTTTCACGAAGATCAAATACATTATGAGGATAGGTAATATATGATATGACATCAGGATTTGATTCTTCTGAAATATTCTCATGAAATTCATCAGGACTGTCATTGCAGAGCGTAGGATCGTTAGAAAAATCAGCATCTATCCAAACCACATCAGGTTTTCGATCATGATTAGGTTCATTTAACATATTTTCCTCAGAATTGCAAGTAATTTCATTAGAAATATGTGAATCATTAGGAAAAGTCATACTTGGTACAATAGCATGAGAATTCTGATAAATCGGTTGATTAGGAAATGTTGTCTCACAAGAATTCTGGATTTCATTTAACTCTGAACTGCCATATGACTCTGCACTGTCTTTTGAAATCGTTGATAAAGATAAATGATTATCATGAATACTCGACTCAGTAGAATCAGAATTACAAGACTTAATATTAATTGCAGTAAGATGAACATTAGCATTACAAACTGACTGAACTTGTCCAATATCACGACATTTAAAGCATTTAGAATTATGAAATTTACATGAATTAGAAGAGTGGAACTTGCAACAGGACAAACACTGACCAAACTTGTCCCCATCCTCGTGAACTGCATCCAAATTCAATGAATTGTCTGCATAACCTTGAGTATGCACTAGGTTGAGATGACGTAGTAATGTAGTGGACTTTTTTATATCCTCATGAATCATTTTACGAAATCTTCCTCCTTTACGACATTTGAAATTTGTATACTGAGCATAGTCTAGCAGTAGATCCTTGAGAGCTGTATAAGAAAGCGAAATGGGTTTTTCCGGCATAGCCAGAGTTCTTAATAAACTGTATGCTTCTTTTCCAATGAATGTGAGGAAGTGTGCCACAATATTAACATCCTCATCATCTTCCTTGGTCATAGCCCAGATTTCGAACCTTTCAAAGTAATCTTCAAAAGCTTCTGAAGTTGAATGAATATCTAACTTTTCCATTGCAGGCTCCATCGCGACGCCAATATAGTATTCTAATTATAGTATGAATTAGGAATTCCAGGATTAACGCAATTGAATTAAGAAGACACAGGCACAACGAATGTACTGTATTTAGAATTCGAAATCAAACATTCAACAAGTACAAAAGAATCATTAGTTAATTCAAACACCACATTATGTCTGTGAAGAAGAAAGATAATTAACGTTACCATGTGTATTACAAGAAGAACTTGAAGGTAAATCAGCAATGTAGTAGGATTTTATGATAGAATATGAGTATATACATGAACAGATTAGAATGATGCCATAAAAGTTTTAATTAATCTCAGAGTGATCGCCAATTATCCACT